CCAGCCTGCGCGCTTGCGCGGCCGCGACGACGCGCCAGAAAATCATTGCAATCGCCTCCGCATCGGGCGGCCGATCGGGGCGATTGCGCGAGCAACAAGGCGCCGCGAACGCAAATTAGTCTCTCCGCGTAAGGAGTCCCCTTCCTCAAAAGAAGCATTGGATACTTCGCAAAAGGCGTTTTCGCAACGTGCGTTTGCGCGCGGCTCTGCGCGGCGGCCCATCCTAAATGTGAACTCGCGCCATCTCATGCGTTCCGATGATCGGGGCCCCCTCTCCCCCTGCGGGGCAGCGCTAAGCGCGCATTTTCACCGCCGTAAATTCTCGTTTCGAAGGCCCACGAGAAAAAAGAAGAGGCGCGCGCGCGTCGTCGTCGCGCGCCGAAATCGCTATAAAACCAACGTTTCGCACGCGGTCGGAATCGCGCGCCCGAGCGCGCAAAACCAAACGGCATCGCAACAAGATGAGAAATATGGCGCTCGCGCTCTTGCGGCCCATCCTGCGAGCCACATGGAGGGCCCGTCGCGCGCGCGCGTCGAAAGCATTCGAGCGCCCCCGCGACCGCGCCGGGGAAAGGGGGCGAAGGGGGGGGTGAGAGAGACCGCATATGTCTCGCGGGCCACTCGCGCGCGTCGGCTGCTCGCGCGCGTCGAGATCCCGCCGGGACCTCCGTCGCCTGCGCGCGGGCGCCATGGGGCGCCACCATCGCCATCGTCGTGGCCAACATTGGTTATTATTGCCCTTGCTGTTGACTGCGTCATCGCGTCACCAGCGTCGCTCCAATCATCGCGCCCGTCATTCGACGTCGCCGCGACGCCGCGCCCGCCCGAGTCGCCGACTCGCGCTGATGCGCCCGCGCGTCAGCGCGGCGTGCTAGACGCGCCGCGCCGCGCCGGGCAGTCGCCGGCGGCCTGCGCCTCCGCGGCCGCGCCCCATCGCGCCAAACTGTCGGCCGCTTTGCGTGCCAGCCTGCGCGCGCTAGCGCAGCCGCGACGATGCGCCAGCCAGCGCCGGGATGCCATAGCAATCGCACCCGCGTGGGCGGCGCGAGCCCGGCGCCGGGCGGGCGGGGCGACTGCGCGAGCAGTGGGCTTGACAAATAATGGCGGACAGATTGGAATTGCACCATGTAGATTCTCCTCTCTCAAATGGAACTGAAGAGACTTAGGCGGTGGAGTCTGGCTCTTCTCGAGCATCTGATTCCGCGCGCCCCCTCATCTAAAATCTGAATTCACGCCGCCCTTGGCGCGCCAATGAGAAGCGCCGGTCCCCCCCCCTGAAGCGCAATGCTATGCGCGCGAGCCCGCTCGCCGCAAATCAGCAGCGTTCAGGGCCACCCTGCAAAAGCAATGACAAAGTCCACGCGCGCGTCGTCGCGCGCGCGACGAAATCCGCTAAACAAAAAAACAGCGGGTCGCGCGGGGAATTCAAAATCGAGCGCCCCGACGCGCACGGGACCAGGCGGTTTCGCAACGTGAGCTTTAGAGCGAAATATGCGCGCTCTGTCGGGTCCCGACGAAAGCCGCATGGCGTCTCTCCAAACTGCCGCATGCGACCAAGAAGGCCCGTCACGCGCGCACGACAAAAACACCCAGACGCCCTTGCGAGCGCGCTGGGGGGGGTGGGGAGGGCGCGACCCCTGTCAAATAATTCCACGCGGGCCGCTCGCGCGCGTCGGCCGCGCACGCGCGCCGAAACCTTGCCAAAACCTTCGCCGCCGACGCGAGTCATTGGCATGATCCGCCTCGACGTTGTCCTTGCCGTGGTCACTGCAATCTTCGCCCCCAGCATCGTTGCCATCGTGTCTGCGGTTGTCGCCGTCGCCATGATGCCACGCCCGCCCGAATCACCGACTCGCGCTGACGTGCCAGCGCGTCCGCGCGCAATGCGAGACGTGCTGGTAATAAGTGCCCAGCGGTCAACGCCCGCGCGGCCGCGTCCGTTGCGCCAGACTTGCCTGCCGCTTTGCGCGCGGGCCTGCGCGCGCTGGCGCGGCCGCGACGATGCGCCAGCCAGCGTCAAGCAGTCATTGCAATCGCTCCTGCGCGAGATTCGCAAACCAATTCGCGGGTTGGTGCGTCGGACGATTGCGCGCGCAATGGAGTTGACAACTCACCGCGAAGAAACAGGAACGCACCACGCAGACTGCACCACACAGGTTACTCCTCAAATTCTGCTCAATTCCATATGCATAACATGGACGGCAAGACATAGTCTGCGCCGCGTTGAGTGCACTGCGCAGATTGCTCCACCTAGGTTGCACAACACATATCAAGGTACAAGCGCAGTGTTTTGGGGGTCTACGCTGGCTCACATGTGATATATCAAACGTTGGCCCTCTTAGCTCTTAAAACTGTGTGGACTTCCCCTTCTTTGCTCATGCCTCTTCCGTGCTCTTCCCATCATTCTCCTCTCTCTCTCGCGCAAACCTCTCTGGTCCAAAAATGGTCACCCGTTTAGGGTTCCTCGCAGCCTCCCGGTTCTTTAGATTTGTTTTCTGCCGTGCGCGATGATCGCGGTAGCGTCGGAGCCCCTCGAGCGTGGCGAACGAGATGATGGAGATGTAGCGGCTCAGCGCGACGCCATGCTGCATAACCTCATCATCATCTGAGCAGTCGCCACCGCAGTCGCCGACATCATTGCTGCAATAACGGCGTAGTGTATCACGTTCGTGCTATTGTGCTGCTGGCCAAGGGGGCGTGCCATAAGAAGGATTGCGCACTGGGGGGCAGCCATGGGTGGGCCTGGGGGTTCTGGGAGCCTCTTGGAGGTTCTAGAAAGAAACCTTTGTGGTCCTAAGCAGCAGCAGGGCCCGCCCCCCAAACGGCCCCGGATCCACGCGCAGGCCCCGATGGTGAACGTTCTCTCATTCCGCGATTCGATATTGAGCAGAAAGGCGTGGGAAGGGGGGGGGGTCTCGCCCCAAACCTTCGCTTCGTGCGACTGTTGAGAACAGTGCCCCCCCCCAGTGTCCTATTGGGAGGCGGGGCCCCCATGCTTCCTCCACCCGCTTTAAACAGGCGCCCAAAACAGCCAAGATCTACCCCGGGGGGGTTGGGCGAGGAGGAGGAGGAGGAGGAGGACGAGAAGGAGGACGATGGCGGTGCAAGGGCACGCGCCGATCGGCAAAACAACGCACACGGAAACGACCACATGCTGTGACCTTGTCTCGTGACTGGGGCCCTGGAGCCCTCGACCCTCGCCCCCACCACTGGCCCAGAGCGGGCCTCGGGAGGCCCGGCCCTCGGACCAGACGGAGGTATGGGTGGGCCTCGAGGCAGCGGTCCTGGCCAGAGGTTCGATGCGGATCCAGCCGTGGCCACGTTCCTTTTTCTCTCGGGGAGGGCGCCTTTGCAGGGTCAACTTCAACGTGGAACACCCAGGGATTACTTCGTTGGGTGGGGGGACGGGTGCGAGGAAGGGTGAACAGCTGGGTGCGCGAACAAAGCGCGCACCTATCGCCTGAAACTAAACCGTTGCAGACGTCCCCGACGGCTCTCGCAGCGGCCCACGCCCGTGCACGAGCCGCAGGGCGGCGACCCGGGACCGCGAGCGCGCGGCAGGCGCCGAGCCGCCGGTGCCGCCCGCGCCCGCGAGCCCTGCGGCCGCTAGGCTCTAGCGCGGCCTCGCGCGAGCCCGCGTGGGGGCACGGGGTCCAGGAAAAGGAAAAAGAGGCAGCTTCCACGGGAGGCCCAGGGATGACGGGACATAGAGAAACGATCCTCGACCTTCGAACGCTGGAGCTCAGGCCCCGACGTCCAACGTCTTGAAAACAGACAGCACTGAAATTCGGATGCTCCTTCTGGGGACCTTCCTGGAGCCACGCGCTCCACTCGTGCGTCGAGGCTACGTCGAACTTCCGTCGACTCGAGTCGACCTTGAGTCGAAACCGAGTCGAACCCGAGTCGAACCTGAGCCGAACTTGAGCCGACTGGGGTCGAACAGATCCGTCCAGCGGGCCCCAGGAAGGTCCCCAAAACGAACACCTAATGACATTGTTCATGGCTTTCGGACTTCGGGAGCCGTTCTCAGGCTCCTCGGCCTTCAAACTTCGGGGACCCACTGACCCAGATCAATCCAGACACGGGCCAGCCGGGCTTTGCACGATCCTCCAAAATCCTGCAAGATTCGAGTTGGGGATCGACTACATAATGGAATTACCCCACAATGGATTTTCTCGTCGAACTCATGGGACGAATTCGTAGCATAGTCTACAGATCTACGGAGCCTTGTGGGTACGTTGCGATTCTGCAGCCGATCCCCTACTCGAAGGATCCTGCGGGATCCTGCGCCCTGACCCGGGCCGGTGCAGCCCTGGCCCTGCGGGATATCCTGCAGCATCTGTCGCTCTGGCGGACCCTCGCTTGCATGGGCCCCGCCCCTCGAGCGCCCCAGAAACTTCCCCGCAATGGACGGCCGACCCCCGGAAGGGGCCATTATCGTCGTCGCCGACGTGCCCTCTTCGCCGAGAGTCGCCGCCCTCGCCCCCTGAGATCCGACGTGGGGACAAAGCCAGGACGAGGAGAAAATCGGATGAGGATGAATCGAGAACTTGCCCTCGATTGGACGCCCATTCCCCATGCATTTGTCGCGTTCGTTGCGTGCTTTTTGGTTCGTTGGTCCTCGCAGAGAAAAGATGTACACGCCCAAGCGATGCCAAGAAACTCTCTGAAATCCCGCGGAACTGGAGGATGTCTCGGGCGCCGCGGCCTTCGCAAAGCTTCTGGAACGCTCTGAGAGCCTTCCGGAACGCTCTGGAACGGATTGATCCTCGTCCTAGCCCCGTCCGAGACGTTGAGAAAAATTTTGCAACATCGGACAAATCTACCAAAACCCTAAACCCTATCTCATCACTACGTCGTTTTCGTAAGCCAGAACGATCCGTGAGCGTCCCAGGGCCCGAAACCCGGCAACATCGCCCGGTATGAAGAAATGGCACCGCCCAGATCGTCGTCGACGTCGTCGTCGTCACCCCGCGCCGTGGCCCCGCGGGCGGAGGAGCGCTGGCCCGCTCGCGGCACGAGTCCATCGGCACCGGGCAGTGCTGGTCCAGCTGGGCCTCTCCCCGGCCAGGCGGGCGGCGGGGCCGCCCCGACGACGCCTAAGACGAATCGGGTGCTGCCAGGGCCCTGTGAATCAAAGTGCTGGGCGAGCGACGCTTTACCCATGATATTTGTTGCGTTCGAATGTTGTATGCAAGGTATGACGAATTATCCATGCCCCTGCTTATGCCCAATCCCGACGAGGGGCCAGAGTGAGGGCACGAATAAAATTTGTACCCCAGGTTCCGAATTGTTTGTCATATCCTTCTCCTCCTGGCGCCGAGAGCCCAGCTGGGGGCGGCAACATGGGTATGGATCGAACAACGGAGGCCGATGCATGATGTTGCGTGGTTTCAGGCCCCGAGACCATCATGGGTCGATCCGGCTCGAACTAAAAATAGAAAACTGGGGTCTGGGGCTCCAGTCTTGATTTTGTCACGATACCGCAATTTTGTCGCGACGTCGGATCTCAGGGGAGGCGTGGGGCCTAGGGCGTCCATGGCCTCTCTTGCCACTCGCGACGAGTGCTCCGGTTGACGGCCCAAGAAAATGCCCACCCTCAAGACGGCACCCGAGGTCCCCAACTTGCCTCTAAGACGGCCCAAGGGCGGCTCCATGACGGCCTGAGACCTCCCCAAGACGACCCCGAGACTCCCCCAGACGGCCGGACTAGGACCTTCCAGGAAGGCCCGAAGAACTGCCAATGGGTACCAAACTAACTCCAGTAGGGCGCAAGCGGGCCCAAGGGAGCCCAAGATGGCCCCTAGAGCGCCCCGGAAGCGCTCCATCACGGCGCAACTGATTGGCCACACGCGCGTCCCCCAAAACAAGTTGATCTTGTCGTCGCTCGGACGCGGTTCGCGTGATGTTCACTTTTGTCCCGCGGGTGTTGCTGGAGGCAATCGAGCTCCGCAAAGCTCCGCACAGCGTGTCGCGTGGGTCCGAGCGGAGCGAGTGGATCCATGATGATTCCGCACGTCCCAGCGACGCAGAGTGATTGGGACTTGGGCACCCGATGTCCGGAATTTTCAGTGCTAGCGCCCCGAAGCCCCGACCATGGCCTTGGGGGCTGAACGGCCCCCAGACAGCCAAAATCGTGAAACGACTCCGTCGCGATTTCTTCAAGACAATGGAGGCCTGGGGCTACCGCCGGACCCAGGACAGAAACACATCCCTAAAGGACATGGGATCCTCCTCTGGCCCGAGCCGAAGACCATTCGAGGGTGACCTCCCCCAGGATGCACACGACCATCCAACAAACACGAAGAGCATTAGGGTACCCTGCCCGACCTCTTCCTTACAGTGGAGGCCAGTCCACAAGAAGCCTTCCACAAGAAACCCAACCCTGAGACCACAGGACGTTCATCGACTGTTGGTGTGGGAACGTCACGCTTCCCATGGCAAGAACATCGAAGCCCAAGAAACCAAGGGCACCCTGAAGGCAAGCAGGGTGTCTCTTGGCATGGCTCCCCCCCTCCCCAACTGTATACCTCGCTCCGACCGTACCGCCATCGTGCTGCCGCGCGAAGCGCAGCAGAAAGCACGGGGCCCCCTTGGCCACAGCGAGAAGCTCGGCCACGCACGGGCTCCCCGACCGTGCTCCGAGGAGCGGCCCGAAGACCATAACGGGGGGCATAGCGACCACGTCCCCGACCTCGTGGGGTTTTCGAGATGGCACGTCTTGTTTTCGAGAGGGCAAATTCTCCTAGGCTTCAGGGACGCCTGCCACGACAAAACTCAGGGGTACACACAAGGGGGGGCGCGCGTCCATCCTCGATGGAGGTGCGTCCCCCAATGGCCCCCTGGGGGTGTATCCCCCAGCTCCCCCCTCTTCCCGAGCGGCCGAATTTGGTGGGCGGAGCTCAGGAATTTGGATAGGCATCGCCTGCGAAGCCGGCGCCCCTCCAGAGCCCGAAGTGCTCCTCATCTCTGAGATGAGGACCACGCTTGGCAAGCTTTGAGCCTATTGGGGCAGTGCGAAGGGAGGCGGGCCCGTGCAGGCCGGCGGCCAGGCAAAGCTCAGCCTGGCGTGCTCGGTCACCAGGGTGACAGCTAAATGCACGCAGCGTGGACATAACCGCTCTCAGGCATGAGCTCGGGATCATCGTTGGTCCGAACTGCCAGGGGGGGCCACTCGAAAGTGGGCACTTCTTACTTCCTTCGCTCCCATAGGCAGAATAATTCCACTCACCGACATGGTCGCAGGGAGCTCCACTGCGTCAGGCAGGTCAGTCAGAATCGGGCGCCCTGGGTAGACGCGCGAGTACATCTGTTCTACGCGTCCTTTCGCAAGGGGGTTCAACTTTGGAAAAAAACATGTTGGTGCATAGGTTTATCCCATTGGCTCCCAGAGATCTTGCCATCTGGGCATCGTTTAGCCGACCCCGATCCCTTTGGCCGTGGCCAGGACCCCACTGGCCGATTTACCCCCCTAGATGCCCTCGATGGGGATATGGGCTGTTTCTTTCGGGCTTCGAGGGGCATATCCCCAACTGGGGTGCTGAGATGGTGGGAGTATCGATAGGGATGGGGAAGCCCCAGGTTGGGTGGCCTGCGTGCGCTGCGGGGCGTCAGCGCCAACGTGGCCGCAACTGGCGGCGTCGCCCTGCGCGGGCTGGGCCGCCGCGCTGCCGCTTAGGGCGGCAGCCCTGCTGCTTCTGCCCGTCGTCCGGGCTGGCGGGCGCGAGGCCGCCTGGCGCGAGGCGCTGCAGGCGCGCCTAGTGCAGCGCCCAGGGCCACCAGACTAATTGGCAGCTCGGGCGGGCTGCGTGCTTGCCGCGTCCACCCCGCCCGCGCGGCCCCTCCCTCGCTCCCTCCCCCCCTGCCGCCTCCCTTTGCCACTGAGCTTCTTCGATGGGTAAAAAAGTACGGCCCCTGCCCACGCCCCGCCGCCCAACGGGCCCGCTGGGCCTCTGCAGCGCTGGCTGGCAGGACGACGCCATGACGGAAACAGACAAAAGTGCACATCGATATACACATGCAAAACATCGGAATTTGTGGCCATAGCATCGAACATGTAAGACGAGGGAACACGATATACGCATATTACACATGGCCATGGGCGTGACACCGTGGGGATCGTTCAGCGACGGGCCGATTCTGGGCAACGGGCGGCGTTCAACCTTAAACGCCTGCGCTGGGGTCGCCGCCAGTCGACACGACGCGAACCTGCCATATACACGTCTACCGCCCCTGGCCAGGCCCATCATGTTCCCAGGAGCGGTGCATTCACGCTCCGTGCTACATAGGCATACCTGCATACACACATACATGCATACATGCATACGCACGTACATACATGCATACACACATACACGCATACATACAGACATACATAGGTACGTACGTGTAAACATACGCATATACGAACATACATATATACATACATACAAACGCACACATACATGCATACATGCATATAAACATACATACACACATACGCATGCATTCATACATACATGCGTACATACTTACAACAGTACATGCATGCAACCATACATGCACACATACATATATGCACACATACACACATACATACGTATGTGCAAACATACATGATGAATCTTCCAGAGAAGTAGCAGGCTGCCAAAAGTTGACGACACAGGTGCTTGCTGCGAACGGAACTTTACAGAACGCGCTCGCTCCCACTATTGACGACAAACGGAACGCAGAAAACGGAAAGGAAGGAGGAGGGGAGGGCTGGTTGTGCACTTGAGCCCGATGTTCACGGATGCGAGCATCGGCTTATCGAGGCGGCTGCGCTACATACTTAAAGCACTAACGTTTGAAAAACTGAACCGTGCTCTGCGCACTCTCGCTTGCCAGCGATGATGAATTATCCAGAGAGGTAGCAGGCTGCCAAGGGTTGACGACACAGGTGCTTGCTGCGAACGGAATTTTACAGAGCGCGCTCGCTCCCATCTTCCGAACCGATTCTGGCTTAGCCGCATGAGCTCGCTCACAAAGATAAAAACGCGAGATGATTGAGCTGGATTCGGTCGGAAGCCTGCGCAAGCAAAGAAGCGGACCCTCGAGCGAACGAATTAGGATACTCCTCCGCGCGGGCAGTGAGGTTCCTGGGGTCCCCGGGCCCACGGCCCTGGAGGGCCAGGCGAGGCGGGTTGGTACGGCCGCAGATCCCTCGGACCCCAGAACACCGTTTGCAAAGCGCTTTGGGCGGGGCCCCTACATTCCACCCACCAACTTTAGTGGGCTTCTTCCAGGCCTGGTTGTGCTGACACATGTGTGTCACGAACTCTTTACTACTGTCTAAACGTGTGAGCTTAACTACTGCAGGGCACTGCCGAAGCAGACTGGACTGTGGGTTTTCCATTGCTACTGGAATACCTGCTACAAGACAAGCACGAATCACGCATACTGTAAACAGAGCTGTTGCGCTGCCGAACTTAACCTTGACTGCATTTTTATATGAAAGATCTGGCCTTCCGTAGATGCGCAAAGGCGTACGAAAGGTGTTCCGGCTTGCGACGCTCCACGTCGAGCACGGGGGGGCCAGCCACACGGCCCGCGCGACTCGGCTCCCGATCCAACCTCGAATTATCTTGAGTGCAGCGTCCGATGTCAAGTCAAAGGCTGGGTCGGCCTTGACGTCGAGGCGGAGCGCTGGCAATGCGCTCAGCTTCTCCAGCCATTTGCCGACGCGGCCGGTCCCAGCAAAGAGATGCAGGAATGCCTGAGCCTTCCGAGGATGCTGGCCCAGCGCCTGGTCCAACGCAGCTCGCAGCCTGCACCTCGCCGTTGCAGCGGGCAGCTGGAGGGCGGAGCCAAGGGTGTCTCCTGAGCGCCAGAGCTGCCCGGCCGCGAGGGCCGCGGCCTTTTTTGCCCCGGGAGGCGCGGCCACGGCCTTGCGCTTGGCGAGCAGGGCGCCGAAGTTGGCGTCCACGTACTCGCCGTGCTGCTTCGTGTCGGGCGCCAGCTGGTCCAGCTCGCGGAGGTATCGGGTGTGCTTCTTGTGCCGTCTTGTCGATGCCTCCTGCGCGTGCCTGAGCCTCTCCTGAATGGTATGCATGTCCCGAGTCTGGTGGAGAGCGTCGGCGCTTGCGGACCCGTGGCGCACCAGGTGGGGGCCCAAGTCCGGGAGGCCAGCCAACTGCGCCACCTTGCGGAACAGCACTCGGAATTGCACGGCTGAGAAGGACCACAACGGCCGGCTTGGCCCGGCACGCCGCACCAGAGCCGCCAGCAAAGGCCCCATCGCCGTCACCTGGTCGCTGTCCAACAGGCAGCCCTCGTCCCAGTGGCCGGTCTTGCTCCTCGGCTGCTTCTCCTCAAGGTACAGGAGCAGCGCCCAGTGGACCACCCCTGTCGCCTGCTGCGGTGGGATGAGCGAAGAGCCGGTCATGGAGTTCAAGTCGCTGGGGGGCCGGAGGTAGGCGCACCACGCAACCTTCAGCGCGATCGCCAGCTCCTGCGCCCCCAGGAACAGCGCAGCGCCTACCAGCGCCGCCAGGCAGGGCCGCGGCAAGGGCGCCCGAGACTGCCCAGGGGCCCGCTTGCGGAAGCCTCTCAGGGCCGCGCGGGCCCGAGGCAGCGCCTCCACCGACTGAGACTGCCCGTGGACGTCGAAGTACTTGACCGCTGCTATCAGCTTTTCTCCCTGATCGCGATTGTAACCCTTGAAGAAGAGCGAGCCCATGTGGGCGGACAGGGCCTGGTCCAACGCCTCCGGCGTCTCCAGATTGAAGTCCTGCTCCTCGGCCCACCTCTCGAACTCGCTCAGGACGGCCCGGTAGTGCGCCACCGTCTGCGGCTGCGCCCGCGAGGCCTGCATGTAGCTCAGGCCCGCTGCCGCCGTCTCCAGCGCCGCCTCCCTCTGCGTCTGGACCAGCGTCGCTCGGCGGCTCCTCCTCGCCTGAGCTGCTTGAAGAGCTGCTCCACGACGCCGCGGCAGCACCTCCTGCGGCCGACTCGGCTGGCGCGAGCTGTCGGCCGACGACAGCCGCAGGCTCGTCCAGCCAGGTGCCCCCGAGGCCGCAGAGACTGGCGGCCTCGGCCCCGCCCGGCTGGAGGAGGAGGTGGTTGTCAATCTCCCCCTCGAGCGCCTGGTCGAGGAGTGCGTCGGCCGCGTGAGCATCAAGGTACCGCGCGGATCGTGGGTCTGCCCGCGGGTCTCTCGGATCGGGCCGAGACGGCAGCGCTCTCGAAGGTCGGTCTGCTGGGTTGATCTCTGAAGCAATCCATCTGAAATAACAATGAACGTTGGCAAACAAACTTAGTGCAATAACCTCTTGGCAAATACGATGGACTGTTGAAGTTGATCCTCGGCCCTTGCTGAGGGCCAATACCATGGACATGTTATCGCAGTTATCACAGAGGAACAAGTGCGCGAGCTCCCTGGGAAGCCCGAGAGCGTAGCCGATGCCGGAGCCCCAGTACCACCCCTCGCCCCTCTGCACGCAAGATGTTCTCCTGGCGAAGCCAGCGACCTTTTGCGCGCAGGCGCCAACTGCTGTCGTCACCCACCTGGCCGGGCGTGATATGGTCGAAAGATGCCCCTGCCTGTCGGGGCATCGGGCGCTTAGGCCCCTGGTCCTGCGGCAGGCCGAGGGTCTGCGCCCGCGCGGCGATGGCCTCTGAGACGCTCCACCGCCACTTCTCGGCCTGCCCCGCTGCGGCCCTCACGCTCTCCAGGCCCCAATCGATCTCCATCGCGCCGCGCCCGCCGAAGTCCCAGGGGCTGGCCCCCGACGCGTCGGACACGGTCACGGCGGTGCTGCAGGGGCGCTCGGCGTCGACGGACGCGAAGCAGACCAGGGCCGCGGCGCGCCAAAGCTCGGCCTCCACGCGTGGCCAGAGCCTCCACCTCCTGGAGCTGGCCAGCGCGATGAATCTGCACGTCTGCGCGAACACGCCCAGCAGCTCACGCCGAAGGATCGCGGCCCAGCACCAGTGGCCGAGGAGGTGCCGAAGCTCGTCCCCCGAGGCCCACCCTCGGGAGGCCGCGTGCAGAGGCGCCAGCCTCAGCTTCCACGTCCGCGACCGCGAGAGCCGGATCTTGCCGGAGGAGACCTCGAAGCTCAGGCCCGTGAAGGTGGCGCCCGACCCGGCCGCCTCCACGCTCTTGCACTTCAAGCCCAGGGCCTCCAGCTTGGCGGCGACGCGCTCGCAGTCGGAAGTCGCCAAGTCGGCCTCGAGCCCCACCACCGCGACCCCGTCCACGTAGACGGCCGCCCGATTGCGGCGCGCCACCGACGGGGCTGCGCGGCGGTCCTGGATTGAATCGGACAGGGCGAAGCCGGCAGCCTGGACACCAGCCATCACCATACATTGGCAAAAGTAAAGACTCCACGTCCACCCCATGTGGAGCACCTCAAGGCAAGGTGACGCCCACGTCTCGACCCCCGCTGGAAGCTGATCTCGGAGATCTGGCCTCAGCCTCAGCAAGGTGGGCAGGTGGACCGCCCTCAAGACGAACATCTCCTGCGCCCCGCCGGGCAGGCCGATCCTGTAGAACGCGCTGTCCACGCCAGCCTGGGCGAGGTGCAGCTCCTGGCCCATCGGGGCCTCCAGCGCCGACCAGGCCCCCGCTGTCGGGAGCACCGCGTGCACTGGAGCTTCAATCAGATCATTGACACACCGAGGGTCAATAATTAAACGTTGCATACCATTCGACTTGTGCACAAAGAAGGCGCCCACGGTCTCCTCGCGCGGATGCTTCAAGGAGACTACGCCGGCGTCCAGCAGGTCGCCGACGAACTGGGCATTGGTTGCTCGAGAGCGGAACTTGCCGTCATAGTGAGGCTTGGGCGCCTGGCTGCCGCCCTCGGGCTGTCGCTTCAACAGCTGCCTCCATCCTACCCATTGTTGAAGAGCTTCTCCCTCCAGGATGCGGCCGCCGTCGGCGAGGCCGCCCCCCTTCGGCAGGGGGGCCAGGGGCCGGCCGCAGGACGCGATGTGCTCCGGCTCGAAGACGTAGCCGTTCCCAGGTCCGCACAGCTCTCGATGGGCCGCCGCGGCATTGCAAGCTGGCTGCGGCCCGGCATCCTCCACCGCGCGCCTGAAGCGCTCCAACCCACACCCCTGCGCGAGCGAAACCCTGCCGTCGACGGGCAGCGTGCCGTGGCCGTACAGCTCATTAATTGAAACTAGAACTTCCTGCGCCCAGGCGTGGAGGTGCTCCTGCTTGCGAAGGCGGCTTCTCGCTGCTCGGCTGCAGGCGCCCGCAGGGGGCGAGGGGGGCGGGCCCGCGGGGAGAGCCACCGGCAGCAGCTCAAGCGGGGCCGCCATGGGGCTCTCGTAGGCCACTTGCCCCCCGGCCGCCACCGCGGCCGCGTCCTCCGCCAGCTCCTCCGTCGCCAGCAGGTGCGCCCTCTCCGACCTTGTCCATCTGCCTGCCGATCTCCGAAGCCTGCGCATTCACCTTCTGCTGCAGCCCCTGCGTCGCGGCTGCAGAGGCCCCGCCGCCGCCCCCACCTCCGGGGGCCCGGCTGGCCTGCCGCTCCTCCGTCAACTTCCTGCGCTCCTTCATCGCTGCCGCCTCCTTGTGGGGCTGCTCGGTGATGCCATCACCAAGCCCCGAGTGAGGCATGTTCCCATGTAGAGGAACTCGTCCTCCGCGAACTCGCCCCCCCCCCCTCCCTTGCTTCCCCACGATCTTGTCCTGGTACCTCATCTCCGCAAGCTGCGCTCTCCGCAGCAAGAGTTCGAAGCTCGCCAGCTCCGTGAAGTTGAGCTGGTCGTAGACCACTGCAACCTCTATTATCCTCATCGCCAGCTCGTGGTCTTGGCAGCCCACATCTTGACCACCCACCCCCGCTTCATGCCTCCACTTCGTGTGACGAGCGCGGGGGTGGGTGTCTTGTTCTGCAATAAAGTCGAGACACCACCGAGCGGTTCTCGTCCGAGAATCGGCCAGGCCGCCCAGCTCGTCTCAGTCATCTCCTTCACGCTATCTTTGAACGAGCGCCGCCTCTCTCCGCTCGAATTCTGCACGATGCTGAGCACGCGCGCGTCGGAGTCCAAGTCGCCGTCGACGCCCGCACTCCTCCGAAGCAGGAGCACCTCCGAGCCTTTCACCGCGAGGCCCCCCACGTCGCAGACGGCGAACTCGTCCACGGTCAGGTTGGCCAGCAGCGACTTGCGCGGAGTGCCACCCGAGCTCCAGACCACCTGCCAGCCGTCGGGCGACGGCGAGGGCAGCGCCCGCGAGCCGACCTCAATCAGACTCGCCGCCGCTCCAGCCCCAGCTGCCGCTGCTCCCGGCCGTGGCTCCTGCCACAGGTCGCCGAGGGCCAGCTTGATCATCTTTCCGAACTCCAGCGGCGTGGCGGTCCAGTCCGAGCCATACACGCGGGTGCGGTTGCTGAACCGGCTGCCGAGGTGGGTCGTTCGGTCGGGTCGGCCCGCGTCGTCGCACAGGATCAATCCGCTGAGCGGCTCCACGTCTAGGCAGTGCGGGTAGACGTCGCCGTCCGGTGTCCCGCACCACCATACCTTCCCGCCCGCCATCTGATCTGGAGTCGCTTGAACTTCCATGATCGACAGCAGCTCGTCGGCCGTGGCGGGAGCGATGGCGACGCGGGCTTGCCAGGCCTGTCCATCCCTCCACTGCACGAGCAGCCTCCTGCCGGGCTCCACAGCCATGGAGGCACCCGCAGCAGAGGGCACTCGCTAGGATGAAGCCGAGGACGAAAGAGGTGGTCGCCAGGCCCCGCGCTCCGCCGAAGAGGTCGAGGACTGCCACACACTCACCCGTATTCGCAACAACGGGTACCAGCACACTCCTGACTGTCCGCGAGGCTTCCCAGCCCCGTCTCAGTACTTTCCAAGAATTGGAGAGAAGGGCAAGCTGCATGCGGAAAAGCCGCCAATTAATGTATTTAAGCCCGATGTTCACAGATGCGAGCATCGGCTTATCGAGGCGGCTTCGCTACAGACTTAGAGCACGAACGTTTGAAAAACTGAACCCTACATACATACATGCATCTATACATACATACATACATATAGACATACATACATACATACATACATACATACGTACGTATGTACGTACGTACGTACGTACGTACGTGCATGCATGCATATATATATATATAAAATATGCATACATACATACATACATACATACATAACTACATACATACATACATACATACATACATACATACATACATACATACATACATACATACATACATACATACATACATACATTACATACACTACATACATTGCATACATTATATACATTACATACATTACATACATACATACATACATACATACATACATACATACATACATACATACATACATACATACATACATACTTACTTACTTACTTACTTACTTACTTACATACATACATAATATAATCATCGCGCGCGCTTCGCGCGCGCTCAAGTTCTACCTAGGCTTATAGGCTAACTAAGGTAATATCATGTTGGTCGCTTCTTGCGTCCAGGAACTCCCTTGGAGGCCCTGCTCAAGCCTCGGAATCATATAGAAGGGGAAGTGCGGAAACGAAGAAATAACTTATTTCCTCTAGGTATTCAACGATTTGGGGCCCTCTATGGCTTCCTGGGTTCTTTTTTGGGAGGTGAGGGGGGTCTGAATTGTGGTCTGTTGTGCAAGAGTAGACCGGGGGGCAAACTTGGGAAAAAAAGGAATTGTGGGATTTCCATGCTTTTCCAGTTCCTCGGCGCTGTTCGGAGCTGTCTTTTGTTTGTGCCTCGCGGGTTTTGTTAGCCGGGCCCCTCAGGGGTGTGGGAGCTTCTGGAGGCCTCCTGCAGCCTGGAGAGCCGCCAGAAGGGTGTCTCGGGCTGCGCGGGAGCGTGTTGGGCCGTTCTTTACGTTCTGGGGGCTCCTTGAGGTCGTCATGGGCTGTCCTTCGGCGTCTTGGGGTCTTGCCCCCGGGAAGCCAGGAGGCGCGATACCGGCCAGATGTCAGGGGATGTGTCGGACCCTCGAGTAGGAGTCCCACTTTCAAAAAAAAAGAAGAAGGAATTCTGGGAATTTCGATGTTTGAAAAAAAACATCCTCGATCTTCGAGGGTTGGAAGCGGGAAAACGTTGAAGGCGAAAAACGTTAGAAAAACCATTGGAAATCAACGAGTTTACCCTCTTTGGGCTCTCTCGGGACGGCTCTTGCAGCTCTCTTGGGCTGTTCTTGGAGCCTCGTCGGGGTCTCGTTGGGGCCTCTCAGGGATCGGGGGTGTGTTGGGGGCCTCTGGGGGGTCCCAGAGGCCTCTCGGAGGTCTCTGGAAGCCTCCTGCTCCCGCTCTTGGGCCCATCTTGGGCCTGTTCTAAGGCGGTCTGGGAATGTCCTGGGCGCCTCTTCGGCAATCTTGGAGCCTTCTTGGCCCGTCTTGGGGCCGTGCTGAGGCTCTCTTGGGTGGTCTTGGGAGCCTTTTCGGCGCTCTTGGACCATTGGAAGCTCGAAAACGCGAGAAGCCAAAAACATGGAAAAAACATGAACATTTACGATTTGGGCCTCTTCGGGCCGTCCCGTGACACCTATCAGACCTCTCTTGGGGTGTCTTGGAGGGCACCTGTGAGCCAAGAGAGCCGTCGGAAGGCTGACTTGGGCTGCTTGGGAGCGTATTGGACTATTCTTTCGAATTCTGAAGGCTTCTGGGAGGCGTCTTGGGCCCTCCTGGGAGGCTGTGGAGGCTCCCCGGAAAGGCCGGGGGAGCGGTACCGGAAGCGTCCCCGAGATGTGGCGGGGAGGGACTCGGGGCCAGGGGAGGCGGTATATATTTGCATTATGCAGAACCGCGCGCGCGATTCGCGCGCGCTTGGGTTCTAGCGCATGCCATGGCGTTGTGAGTTGCGCGTGCTTTTCGGACAGGCTCATTCCATGCCCTGCCCTACCTCGTCCTCCAATATTCCTTATACGTCCTTCCTCGTTAACCCTCCAGACTCTCTCGGTTGTCCTCGCTCTTCGTTTCTCGTCTTGCTTGGGATTATGCGGGGGCTTCGAGCTGTTCAGGGCCGGCGTGGCAAAATATTCAATATGAAGTGGGCTGGCTTGAAATGTACGGGTCTCTTGTGGATCTTCCTGTTGGGGCTGCCTTGAAGGCCTTGGGGCCCGCTTGGGTCCCTCTTGGGCTCTTCTTCGAAGTGGTGGGGCCGTCTCGAGCCTCGGCGCCATGTGAAGCTCTCCCGAAGCCATCCGAAGGAGACGAGCGTGAGATTTATTGAACATGGAAAAACCTGAATGGCTTTTGCGTTTGTGGCTCTCTGGGGTCATTTGGGAGGGCCTTTGGAAGTTCCACGGGGGCATCTTGTGGCCCCTGGGGGCCGCCTTGAAACATCTTGGAGCGTCTTGGACCACTAAGGGGCCATCTTGGCGGTCAGCGGGCGTCGCTTGCTCTGAGTAGAAAGTGCCTGGGATGCAGCGGCCAGCGCTGTACATGAGCTGCTACCTTGGGCTGCAGCTCGCTGGATTCTGCTGCGTGAAAGGCGCTGCTACCCTGGGCTGCAGCGCAACGCAATTAAATACCCCGGCATTACCTATCCCACACGGCACTTGAACGAGAGATGGACATGCTTGGTTTGCGCATGAATTTCTGTCCTGAGTCCTGAATGGATGACCATCCAACCCAAATCCAAAATTCCCAGATTCCTTGGGGCCTTCGAAGGCTCCGCGAAACCGTTAAGAAGCCGGGAGGCGCGGTACCCGCCAGATGTCAGGGGTTGTGTAGGACCCCCGAGTAGGAATTCCCTTCTTCCCAAAATCCTCAATCTTTGAGGATTGGAAGCGGGAAAACGTGGGAAGGCGAAAATTGAAAAAAAAGCACGGTGAATTAACGATTTCGCCCTCTTTGGGCTCTCTCGGGACGGCTCTCGCAGCTCTCTTGGGCTGTTCTTGGAGCCTCGTCGGGGTCTCGTTGGGGCCTCTCAGGGATCGGAGGGGTGTTGGGAGCCTCTGGGGGGTCCTGGAGGCCTCTCGGAGGTCTCTGGAAGCCTCCTGCTCCCGCTCTTGGGCCCATCTTGGGCCTGTTCTGGGGTGGTCTGGGGCTATGCTGGGGGCCTCTTCGGCAATCTTGAAGCCTTCTTGGCCCGTCTCGGGGCCGTCCTGAGGGTCTCTTGGGTGGTCTTGTGGCGGTCTTGGGAGGCTCTTCGGCGCTCTTGGACACTGGAAGCTCGAAAACGCGAGAAGCCCAAAACATTGGAAAAACCCATGAGCCTCTTCGGGCCGTCCCGTGACACCTATCAGACCTCTCTTGGGGTCTCTTGGAGGCCACCTGGGAGCCTCGAGAGCCGTCGGAAGGCTGACTTGGGCTGCTTGGGAGCGTCTTGGGCCATCCTTTCGCATTCTGGGGGCTCCTGGAGGGCGTCTTGGGCCTTCCTGGAGCGCTGTGGAGGCTCCCTGAAAAGGGCCGGGGGAGCGGCACCGGGAGCGTCCCCGAGATGTGGCGGGGAGGTGTGGGACCGGGGGGCGGTGTATATATATATATATATACACACACAGATGGATACATACATACATACATACAGACAGACATACAGACATACATACATACATACATACATACATACAGACATACAGACATACAGACATACAGACATACATATATATACACACATATATATAAGAACCACGCGCACTTCGCGTGCGCTTAGGTTCTAGCGTGTCACTGGCACAGGAGAAAGCTGTACGAAAAAACGATTGGACTTTCTCAGGCAAGTGCGGACTCCAGTGGCAACACCTGCTTGAGGCACCGCCGGGGACGGACCTTGTGTAGAGTGTGGAAGTCGGACCAGCTCTCTGGTCGACCCTCTTGGGCGCGCCCTGGGGCTCTCTTGAGCCGTTTTGGGGAGCCCATTGCGGGGCTGTTTGGGGGCCTCTTTGGATGTTTTTGCGGTTCTCTTGGGGGCCTGTTGGGGCTTCTTGGGCGCTTCTTGGAGCCTCTTGGGGTCTCCTGGGGGCCTCTTGGGCCAAAACGCTCGAATCTTCGGTTCCTCGTCCCCGTCTTGGGCGCCGACTCGGGGCGTTCTTGGGGGGTTTGGGCGCCTCGGGGGTCATCTTGGCCCCCTCGTGGGTCGTCTTGGAGCCCTCTTGGGGGCATCCTCGACTGGCGTGGGTGCCTCTTGGGCCGTCTTGGGCGCAGTGGAAGCCCAAAAGGCGAACACGCTAAAAATATAAACTCCCCCACAGGAATCGACGGTGTTTGCTTATTTGGGCTCTATTGGGGTGCCTCTTGGGGCGTCGTCGAAGCCTCTTTTGATGTGTGTTTTCGGGTCTCATGGGGGCTTCTGGGCCTCTTCTTGGAGCCTCTTGGAGTCTCCTGGGGTTCTCTTGGGCCAAAAAGCGCGAATCCCACCAGCCCTTTGGGCGTGAGTGGTTTAGGGAGCTCTCTCTGTTCTCACCCCCCCTTCTTCCCCTTCGGGGAGGGGTTTACCCCTCCCCCTACCCCCTCCCCCTGGACCTGGAGAGGTCCTTTCGCGGGTGGTTGGAGGGGTCTTTTTCGACTCCTGGGAGGGCTAAACAACGACACCCCTCACGAGGATTCTGGCCCCGACGGGGGGGGGCGAAAAAACCCGCCCCATCTGTGATCGATCGCCCGAAAGATGGCCCCAAGATGCCTCCCAGACCCCTCCCAAAGAGCCCCAAGAGGCCCCAAG